AATGCCGAAAGAGTCAAATAGTTATGACGTCGCGTAGCAGCCCACTTCCTTGTTTGAGCATGGTTGTGTTCACCTTTCCAGCAGACCATACTTGTGTACACATGAATCATGCTCGAGACCACCTCTTCAAGTGGACTCAGGCATAGTGCACGAGTCCGGTATGCTTGTGTTTACATTGATCAAACTGAACCTGACTTTGGGGTCAAGTGTACTTGAAACCAGGCCTGGATCCCTAATGTGAAAGTGCCCTTTGACTGATTATTAGGCTGGATTTTGAGAGCATAAAGGAAAATGAATTGAATGAGTGGCATAAAGAAAGAGTAACCAGAGAGATGCTATCCTCACAGAAATAGTACATATAGTGGCTTTAATGAAGCGTCCAGAGGATATCTGAAGTCTTGCTTGTGATGCACAGAATGAGCCACAGGTGTCTTTTCTATCCATTCAGCCACAGCATACAAATAACAACATAACATTACATGTGTCTGTAATCCGTCTATAATTTCTACTGCTGCTGAAAAGCACAGCCAGCCAGGGTAGCTGTGGTGAGATAACAACACCCATCAGAGCCATCTCTGGCTGAGCAAGCTACTGAATCAACAACACATCCCATTCTAGATGCAGCTTGGCTCTCTAGTTGCCTGGCAACAACACAACCTACGTTATGTTTAGGAGGAGAGGTGAAGTCCAAGTGCTTAAAGGAGTACAAGGCCATAGCTGTGAATAAGATCTCATTGCTTTTTTTTCTTCATTCACAATTATTAGAGAATGATGACTCATCTCTGTGATGAGACACCCCAAGCAACGTGCTGGAATAAATCAATATCAGCTGTCAGGCTCAGACTGAGAGACTTCAGTTTGGCATCCTGTAAATGTACTCTCATGAACCCAGAGCACATATGCACAAAAGGTTTACTGCTGCATACCAAGTATAATCCAGATGGGCGATGTCAACCCATGTAAAAACTCTCGTGTTTTCTGCTACCCACTGGAAATTTTCAGTGGTATGTTACTATGACTGTTCTTTGTAAAACAAACATTTACGACATATAATTTATGAACACTTTCTTTCACTTCATTCATGGTAAAGGTATTTGAACTTCTGTTAAGACTATACAACAGTGCTTTGGTTTAATGAAATAGAAATTATTTTTAAATGTGTCTGTGCCCTCCGTTTACTTGAGCTGATTTCACATTAGCAGGGGTTAAAAGATTTTCTTTAACATTAAGGGACCCTGAAAATTCCCAAGTTTTGTGTAAAGTTTCCTTTCTCGTACAAACCAAACAATTTAATATTTTCCATCTTTTCTCTTGGTCCTATAATGTTTCAATTGTGTAAAACCTTTCAGCTTTTTTATTTTTACTATGGGTGCCATATTACAGCTGGTATGTATAAATTCTATTAATATTTAATTTAAATTTTAATCTTGATCCAGTTTCCTGAACTTATCTATAGGAGCATAACCATACGGACACACTGAATCTGTACTCTTACACACACCTGTAGGTGATTTTCCCTGTGCTCCAGCAGTAAGTGGACCATTGCTGAAGGTTGTGAGGCTATCTCTCCTCTGGCCAGGTTTGATATTCCCATAGTATCGATTGACCAGGACCTGTCGCAGAGCTTCTCCCTGTCGTCAAGAATGGATGTTAGGAGATGAAGCCACACCATCTTACAGAAACGGAGCTGGAAGTCAATGTCAGTGCAACTGTGCTAAAGTAGCAGTACAGGATAACACAAATAATGAAAGCTTACACTTAATAATTTTAAGTCTCACATCAGAAAGTACACAAAAGAAGAGTGTAAAGAGTTAAAGACCTGTATGTAAACCTCCTCAGGAAAACCTGTTATAAAATGCATTCTTGATCACATCCAATCTCCTTTTAAAATCACATCTATTCCATGTGAAAGCATTGCCTTTTGTTTTTCATGCTACTTGGGTCCTTTTAAGAGCTGCTCAATGCAAAATAAATAAAAAACTTTAGAAATATTGCAGTTATACAGAAATACTGTATAAATAAAAATGTAATTAAAAACAATAACTAAAATACACAAAAAAGCACCTAAAAGTTCTTTGGCCTTAAACCTAAACCTAATAAGAAAAATGAAAGTCGAAAAATGCAGTCGAAACACACCATTTTCTTACTGACCTGAGTCAGTGATGTTCAAAACCATAATGTGGCCTCTCCCTTCTCAACATATGCCAACATTTAGCACTGACCCATATTGGTTTGATATAAATCAGAGCAGCACAGTCACCTACATGGTCCCTGTGGGCCAAACATGTCACAAGCTGTGAAGTTAAAGGTCTATCTGTTAATCTGCTTCACATGTTACATATTGAGAGCCGATGTACCAGAGTCAAATTCCTCGTGTGTCCAACACACCTGGCCAATAAAGCTGATTCTGATTCTGATGTTACATATCATATAACTGAAAGGGAAGTGAGTGAGTGCCATGCTAGGGAATCGGTGGGACTGTAAAGACATCAAGTCGTTCAGTTGACCATAAATAAGATGGAGGCCTGGGACAGACCACAGCAAACCAAACTCAGTACCTACCCTCCTTTGATCCTCCAGTTGCTTCTGAGGCTGGTTGGGATCAAGCTCCTTAAAGGGGAGGTGAGTTATCAGAAAGCAATAAAATAAGAAGAAAATGAATGTAAAATAAAAAAAAAAAAGTCCAGAAAGGAAATTTGGGAAAAAATTAGAATACAGTGCAAATTAAAAACTAGCTTTACTAGCATGAAAGAACCAGGTTCAAACTAGATCGTACAGTTATGAGGGAAGTGGTTGTGTCAGGAAAGACTTGAGGTCAAGTCAAAATCATGCAGGCCTTGTGCAGACTGATATCCATTATCCACTCTGTACATACACAGAGTTGCTTATCAAGAAAATTTTGTTTCATAACTTATTTCAAACCTCAAATTTTATATCACCATTTTTTATTCAATTTATGAAAACTCTGAAGGCTCAGATCCCCACACCTGACAGTCCACTGTGTGAAAATCCATACTAACTGCGACACCCTCATTACTTCACAGTTACACAGAAAGACACGCCATGGGGGAGTGATAAAAGCTGAGATACACACTGTAAGCACCAATCTGGCACAGAAAAATGCCTCACCCATGACATTACTCCCCCAACCCACACACAAAAAATAGGTGTGGAATTTGGACTTTGCTCAAAAGGCAAAAGGCAGATGAAAAGATGAGCTAATGGCAGGAGGGAGGGCAGAATAGGTGACAGGTAAGGCACAAAGGACTGATATGTAGCATAAATTAAGTTCCACATAGAGAGCAATACACACAAGGGGGCCCTCAAGAAGAAAAACACAAATGTTGTGACTCATCTATTTAGATAAATAGATGTTTGACTAAACACAAGTGTAATGGATGGAGTTAGTATGCAAATATGTCAAATGACCACTGATCAGCAGAGACCCATATTAGCAGGTCAATATGGGTCTTAAACACACCTCAGTAGGGACTTCAGGCTCAGGTGGAGGTGCCAGCTGATTAGAAATAAAAGGATGATGTTAGTCAAAGTTAGAAGATGTAGAATTATTTATGCTGCCTCTGCCTCCAAAGAGTGGCATGCTCCCTAAAACCTCTACCTAGTACTGCAACAAACTTTTTGCCTGATATTTACTGATGCATCAATCTCTATAATGATCTACTGCACAGTAACTCACAACTGCACATCATAACTGTGTGTGACTTAAAGACCCAGAGGCAGAGAAAACACAGACAAAAATCATGTTGCTTCCTGAAGTGCAAAAAAAAAAAAAAAAAATCTTATTTAATTGTGTATCTGGTGTTATGTGTTTTCATGCATGTAGGCAATGGCGCAGTGAATCATAAACAGCATTAACCTACTGCAGAAAGAAAGCATGTAAGTGCACAAAAAAATGCTGTGAAGTTCACCACAGTATAGACCGCTGCCTACAATGCTACACTGTGATGTGTTTAGCATTAACCTCCAGCTGCCTACACTGAATTTATATCAAAGAGCCAGTAAAAGCAAAAATATGCAAACTCATCTGAGTACCAATTTCCATTTACAAAGGTTATTATGAAGGCCACGTGAGAATGACATCTTCTGTAATCCAGCAGATATTGACTACATTGGGGAATGTGGCTCAATTTAACAACTGACACATTTTTTGCTATTGGAAATCTATTTAATAAAAACCTAAATGATGTGGCACAGGTAAAAAAAAAAAATCCTGATCACTAAATAAAAATTTCCCCTCAAAATCTGAAGCACATTTAATCTCTGAGCAGTAAATATTTTGAGCCCATTTTCAGTAGATTTCTCAAACTAATACAACACACAAAGCAAATTCAGTACTAAAAAAAAACAAGGGGTTAAAGAGAAAAATGAAGACAAGCACCAATGTTAACTTTGATGGTTAACCATCAGTTAATGGGAGGTCAGTTGTTTAAATAAAACATTAAATAATAATATGCAATGCATTTCTTCACACTTTAATACTAACACCCTTAATATTCATACAATTGAATTTAAAGTGAAATGAAACAGAATAAAATAACATGAGAGTGCAGAGGCCTTCAAATCCAGTTGTTCAACAAAGTAAACAACTCATTTAACTGACAAAGCTTATAAAGATACCTATAAACACACATATAGTCACAAAACCCCAATTCTATGAGACAGCAAGCGTGAGCAACTAAATATTAAACAGGTAACCCTCTGTAACACAGTCTGCTGCTTTATGCTGAATAATTGTGCAACTGGACAGGAATTTCCCTATATCAAGGCTTCTTTTGCATCAACACACTTATTTCCAGAGAAAAATGGTGATGCATCATGCATCACCAAGGCTGTGCTCAGCACGTCTCTAATACCTTTCAATTTTGTTTGAAATGTAACTACTGTTTTGAGTAATGGAACATAATAACCAATGTTTGCTAGATCTGACTTAATATAGTCAACAGCTCGTCTGGAATTTTTTGCGTATAAAAGATGCATCAGCTGGACGGATTGATTCCATGACTGTCACCATCAGCTCTACTTATTATGCTTCCCAGAATGTGAGATAAGATCTCCACAGTGACAATGCCAGACAAACAAAATGAGGTCCAGGGCATTTGCAGAAAAAGAGACAGTTGAGGTCATATAATCTCACTGACCACAAAATTCTGTGCATTTCTCCGTGCATGACGCACTTTTCTCGAGGGGCTGCCTCAAGTCAAACCATCCCTTTGTTTAGAATAGCATTGCTGAGAGACTTAACCCACATCAGCCAGACAAAGTGAGTACTGCTTTATCTCATCTCACTGTTAGGTCATAAGGAAATTGACTGTTCATAATCCAAGAAACAAGTCTTCAAGGAGAAGGCTAGAGGAAAGGTTTACTATAACATTCTGCTGACAATATAAAATTGGCCCTCTGCCCTGTAGCAGAGGCAGACCACAGCCAATAAACACGTGTTACATCGGCTGAAGTGCATGCTCACCACTAAAAGTAAAACCCCCAGTTTCCTTTGGCCCGTCTACCTAGTATTGGTCGAGGTGCACTACTGCTACCACCTCCAGGAGGAAATCTCTGCTGCATTTTTACTGCCAATTACCACTGAAGGTGACATATCAGTGGAGAGTTTAAAATTCCAGGAAAACTGAGGAAAAAGGAAAGAAAATTGTTGGTTCTTATGTAACTGCTGCCCGAGAGCTGGCTGGACCCCAAGAATCGTGCAGCATGAAGCTAAAGAAACCGGGGCAGTGCTGCATGTTGCTGAGAAATGTCTGCAGCTCCCCCTGTTGATGGAGGAAAAAAAAAAAAAAAACAGCAGATCAGAGTCTCCTGACAAGCAGAGCCTATCAGAAATAGCTTGGGAGGTAGTTAGTGGAGGGAATGGCAGCTGGATATGTTGTACACTGGTAAAGTTGATGAAGAACAGACAGTGAAAGTGAAATGAACAAAGAAATATTTGTAAAAGGAGCGACAGGGATGAGGTCAGAAGAAATGTATAAGGGGAAAAACAACAGAGGATGCAGCAATTTTTTGCCAAACAAACAGTAGTTGGTCAAGATAATGAGGAGACTGTGATGGGCTGGCTTAACACATGAATGGAGAGCTTGGAGAGTTCAAATACAGTACTCTCACACAGATAGTCAGACCAATACTTTCCCCTGCATAGACCCAATCTGTTACAGTATATACTGTAACCCTAACTTCATTTGTGGGTGATATATTCAGTCCCATCCTCAGCACACTGGATTACATCACAGAATAAAACAGAAGCTTCATTTCCATCTGGTCCATTTAGCCTCTCAGTCTCCCAAAGAAAGAAGCCCACATGCACGTGAAGGAAACACAACCACATGCAGTGAATGCAATGATCTGGCCTGACAGTGTGGGCGGCAAGGCCCGCCATGTCTCGTTTTCCACTGCTTTGCATTTTATCACATTTCTATTTCTGGAGGAATGAGATAACCTCTACCAATGGGCGAACCATCACTCTGCTTTATCCCACTCTCTTTACACAGAATCCAGCCCACAGACTGAGCGCACAACAAGAGAGGAAGTAAGACTGTCAGAAATGAGAGAGAGTGACTGCTTTCACAGGTGACCTTAGGCTAGGAGTTGGGTGGAGGTGTTGTGGTACTATAGATCAGCCAGTAACAGCAGGCTTAACACTGAGGTTACATAACAGCTATCATGGCAGCTTGTCTTACTGTTGCTGAGGGAGAATTGGAGTTTCAGCCTGCTCGTCTTCCATCTGAATGATACCCACACACTTGCTACCATAAGTATGTACATTGCTGTTAATGAGTCTGTGCAGGAATGAGTGACATACAGTATGTGCTGAGGGTTGCGGAATAGGTATGGTATGCATTATGGGAAGAACATTTGGGGACACTTCCATTTGTACAGGTGTTATTATTGTTGGTCAACATCCAAACACACATACAGCATTCTTTCTGCAGCTGAAACCAAATATTGTTGGGATAGACAGCACTGCTACTGAGATTTTTGGTTCATTATCCTTATTATCTTACTATAGGATGATACCCTGAAAAACTCTGACTTCATTTGTTAATTGCCTTTTTCCAGATAATGCTTCAGAAGATGTAGTAACAGTCTTTTCCAACAATGCCTTTGTACAGATAAATTTTGTCACCTGTAAGAATTGTTAACATCAATTTTCAAGGCTTAATTTACTTCCAGTGCTGCAGAAAACATGGAAGTTAACCATTCATATAATCCCTGTTCTACTGTATATGGCATTTACATACATTTCTAGTGTTTGGAGAGTTTTTTTTTGTGTGTTTGTTTTACCTCTAGTAGCAGTTGACTTCTTAGCTTTTTACCATTTAAGGTTATTCACTGGATTTGAACTGCTTAAATATCATGATTACAACTGGAAAAACTTAGATGACCCCAAACTTTTGACCAGTAGTGTACATTCCTGAGATACTGAAAACAGGAGAAGTTAATGAAACAAAGCTCTGATCTCCGAGAAGAACGGCCCTGTTTTTAAGGAAACTGGGGATTTCCACTGCTACAATAGCAAGTGGCAAATACAAGGAAGGAAGGGAAGGAGGGAAAATGAGATAGTGAAAGACATAACAGAGAAAATGAGGACATGTTGCTTCCTGGCAACTCTGGAAAGACCCTTTGTGACAATTTCTCCATTACCCCAACTAACATCATTATTCACTTCCCTTACACTCTCTTGATTAAGTGACTAGTTGACTTTCAGCCTGTTTCACACTCTTCATTATTCCTTCCCTGCTGGCACTGATTCTCCTGCTCTGACAATATGTACTTTCAGTTTTGACAAATATAGTAATTTCAAGAGTAGGCTGTAAATATCAAGATGCGGAGTAAAAAGCAATGCTGACTGAAGGTTCTCAGCTCAAGGTGCACTTACTAGATTTTTTTCCAGAGCTCTCAACCAAATCATAGAGTTCAGCTGCCATGGAGATCAATCTGTTCACATGCAAACTCAGGAGAAGTTAAGACTTTATGCATAGCACCTTAAGGACTTGTCATCTTAACCACATTAACCTGCTCAACATTTGATTACTTTGTTTTGTTTGTTGTGTCTTGTTGCTTTTCTTTTCTTTCCTCTCTCCTCTATCCACTCACCCCAACCAGTCAAGGCAGAAGGCCACCCACCAAGAGCCTGGGGTCCTGTCAGAGGTTTCTTCCGTTAAAGGGAGTTTTTCCTCTCAAGTGCTTGCTCAAGGGGGATTTGTTGGGTTTTTCCTCAATAATAATAATAATAATAATAATATGTAAAGTGCCCTGAGATGACTTTTTCTGTAATGTGGCACCATACAAACTGAACAGAACAGAATAGAATCTAAAAAAGCAGGACATGATTTTTACCTGTTTTTCCAAACAGCTATTTCCAAGGTCAAGAATGAACTTTGATGCTTGCAATGATGAGAAGCCCCAAAAGTGCTGTGGAACAAATCACACTGTAACAGCTACTGAGCTTACATGTGACCTTCATCTGCTCATGAAAAACTTGATATAAATGAAAATTCAAGGAAAAAACAAGGAAGTGAATCTTGAGTGGAGACAAGAGAAAGGCAGACAAGAGGTTCTAAAGGTGAGGGGCCCAGACTGAAAAAGCTCAGTCACCCCTGGTAATGAAGTGAACTGCTGAAACAACCAAAAGACCCTGCAAAGACCTACGACATATGAGGGATTACACATTAAAATGTACCTGACAGCCTGACCATGCAGTGCCTTTAAAGGTATTAGTGAAGTTTTCAATTTGATCATAAAACTTGGCTCTTAAGCTCATAGGAAGCCAGTGAATACAAGAATGAGGATAACGTGTTCTCATCTCCTAGAAATGGTTAAAGACCACCCACTACTTTGAGCAAATAAAAGGTGGGTAGACATCTGGTCTGCAGTAATTCAAATGAGAAAAGATCAAAATTTGTAGGTATTCAAATAGACATTTGTGTGGTAATGTCAGTACTCTTAAAAAACATAGATGACTGGTTGTTAGAAATGTTAATAAGCCCAAGGCATTTCTTAAAGACATAACAGAGAAAATGAGGACATGTTGCTTCCTGGCAACTCTGGAAAGACCCTTTGTGACAATTTCTCCATTACCCCAACTAACATCATTATTCACTTCCCTTACACTCACTCTTGATTAAGTTGACTTTCAGCCTGTTTCACACTCTTCATTATTCCTGCCCTAATAAAGATAACCAAATTTAATCAGTGATAGCTCCACAATCACAAGGTCAAAATGAATAACCCAAAAAAAGAAATGCACTAAATGAATTCTCCCTGTCCCTATCATTAGGCCAGAGAAAGAGTCAAAGAACTACAGCAAAAAGTAAAATGTTTACTTCTGCCTCAAAACTCTAAATTAAAAAATAATGATGACTCAGTCAACAGTGATGTCACTGAACCTGTTCCAAAGGTTCAGAACTGCAACGCTGCTAAAGCTGATGTGGTACACAAGAAGCACAAAAATGCAGTACTATCAATCTTAGTTATTTGGTGAGCTCTGGAGAGCCAAATGTGCCACGCTCAATGACCTTCCCAAAATGGCACAGGTTTATACAACAAAAGAACGGATACAACCTGGTCCCAGTACCAGGACCACCAGGATGTAAAAAAAAAAAAAACAAACCAACAACAACAAATAAAAAAAAAACTATAAACATATGTGTTGGATAGGTCACTTCCTAGCCTGTTATGTCGGCAGTGAAAGGTGATGGTTCCTCTGTAGTCACACCCATACTGTAATCCCTGTGACACCAAACAGAAATGAGGAACCATTTTTATCCACTTCCTTAAAGTCACAGGTTATAACCCCACACATAAGTTTACCATGCACATGCATGACATACAGTACACAGCCCAGCACCCTGTGTTATGAGCCATTAGATGGAGTATCCCAGGCTATATATACACTCACACCTGCTCCTGTAACACTGACAAAGGGCTTAGAGGAATAATATGCTTTATCGCCAGCAGCCATCATGAGGGGGCTGTGCAGAATGTAGATCAAGTGACCAGAAAAATATGAACAGCTCTAACCTAATAAATATTACAATTCAGTTCAGCTTTTATTGAGACTACTAAGTCGTCAGCGGGACTGTGGCTACCACTGGGAACACTGAGATTATGTTCACTATATTTTTTCTCATCAGAATTATGTAGAGAATATTTTGAAAAAGAATTTAGGCAATTTTCTTGAGGTGAGTGTGGGATACATTCAGGTCAATTATATTGAAAGATGTCTCTACTAATTTGTTCCTCCCATTTACTGGAGCAAAAAACATTTGAAACTCCTTAAAATATACAACTAGAATTACTGCTAGAGTTATGTGACTCCGCCAACCAGTCAAATGGGCCAGACATGTGGACACTGACCTTGACCATTGACCATAGAAGTCTAATCTGTTCATCCTTGTGCTAAATTTGAAGAAACTCCCTGAAGGCGTTCCTGGCATATCATGCTGACAAGAATGGGCCAGCTAAAGCCATGATGACTCTGGCCACAGCTATCACAGGCGCAAAGGCATAAAATTTCAATGCTAAAATCCAAAGTTTCAATCGTGACCGCTACTGAGTAAAAACAACAATTTAAAACTACACATTTCATTAAAGTCAGGGGCTTGGATTGGATTAGAGTCTACAGGGGTTCCATTATTCTTGCCACTCAGTACCCATTACCTTCACAATCCTGCTCTACTAA